TCCTGAGCTCAAGCAATCCGCCCGCCTCGGCCTTCCAGAGAGCTAGGATTACAGGCGTGAGCCACCGCGCCCGGCCTAAAAGATGTTTTAATGGCACTGAAGACAGATGGGGAGCGGTGGCTGGGGTAGAGAAGCAGGGGAGAGAGAGGGGGTAGGACGGGGAGAGCCCGGCATGGTGGGGTGAAGAGGGGGCAGCAGGAGGGAGCCTCTGTGTAGCGTGACCCAGCAGCAGGCCAGAGAGGCTGTTAGTCCGTTAACTGCCACCGACAGCCACTAGCAGCTCTGAATACTGCGGAATATTGTCCCCGGGGGCTCTTTTGTCTCCCGGTGGACATTTGGCAATGTCTGGAACCATTTTTGGTTGTCACAGCTGGGTGTAGGGGTGCTACGGGCATCTAGTGAGTCGAGGCCAGGGATGCTGCCAAGTGTCCTACGACAGGTAGGATGTGTCATCCTACTGCAAAGACGCTCCGGCACACAACGCCGAGGCCGGTGTGGTCCAGAAACCCTGGAACAGCACAGCACGGACTGAACAGTTCGTATCTGGACCGTGGTAGATGGGGATCGCAGGCCTGGTGTGCAGTAGCTCCCAGGGCAGGATGTCCCCTCCCTTTGAGGCATGACTTGGGGTCCTCCCGGAGTGAAGCTCTGACGTGAGCACCTCTCGCGTCTGTGTTCCAGGGCGCATTCCAGCGCGATCTCCAACTGCTGTTTCACCTTCAGCGGCCACTTCCTGTGTACAAGCTCCTGGGATAAAACCTTAAAGATATGGAATGTCCACACAGGGGAGTTTCGACACCACGGAGCCTGCGTGACTCTGATGCAGGGCCACGAGGGTTCGGTCAGCTCCTGCTGCTTTGCCAGAGACAGTGAGTAATCAGCCCAGACGCAGACTCTGCTCCCACGGCAGCGCCGGGTGGAGATCTCCGTGCTCTACTCGTATGACCTTCCCTAAGTACAGAGAGGCGGTTTCCAATGGGGCCAAAGGTGAGGGTGGATTTTGTCCCACAAGAGCAGAAAAACCAAGGGGAAATTCATAGGCACAAGTTTACAACTGGCAGAAACCCGGCTCAACATGGCTTAAGCAACAAAAGAAATTTATTAACTTCCGTAATGCAAAAGTCCAGGAGCAGGTGTGACTTCAGGCATGGCTGGGTCCAGAGACCCAAACAACACTCTCAGGGACCCAGCTCTTCCACTCGGTCTCTCGAATCAGCCTCCTTCTTTTTTCTTTCTTTCTTTTCTTTTCTTTTTTCTTTTTCCTTTTTTTTTTTTGAGACAGAATCTCACTCTGTTGCCCCAGGTAGAGTGCAGTGGCGTCAGCCTAGCTCACAGCAACCTCAAACTCCTGGGCTCAAGCGATCCTCTTGCCTCAGCCTCCCAGTAGCTGGGACTACAGGCATGTACCACCACACCTGGCTAATTTTTCTGTTTTTTAATAGAGACGCAATCTCACTCTTGCTCAGGCTGGTCTCAAGCTCCTGAGCTCAAGCGATCCTCCTGCCTCAGCCTCCCAGAGCGCTAGGATTACAGGCCTGAGCCACTGCACCTGGGCTCATTCTCCTTCTTATATTGGCCTCTCTCCTCAAGGAGGCACAGATGGCCTCTGGTGGTCCAGGCCAACCTGGTTCGGGCTGCTGGCAGTCCTGGGAAAGAGAGACCCTCTGTCTGATGGTGCCAGCATAAGTTCCAGGGAAGACTCCCATTGGCTCAGCTTGAAACACAGGCCCACCTCTGAGCCAATCACTTAGCAGGATGAAAGGCTCTGATTGGCTAGGTTTGGGTGACTTGCCCACCCCCAGGGCTGGAGTTTGGGGTCAGTGCCCTCTGAACCAGAGGGATTGGGAGTAGGCAAGGGCAGCTTCCCTGCAAGACGTTGGGAGAGCTGTTTCCCGATGAAGGGGCGTGGATTTGAACAGGGGCAATGGCAGGGAGCTGCCATAGACGAGCCCCAGTGGGGGGTGGCTGCTCTAGACATCTAGGAGCCAAGCGTGTACTCCCCATCCTGGTGAGAGGTGGGGCCTGCCCTGTGTGTCTGGTGGGCCCAGCTGGTGCACATGCCGTCAGGGCCTGGCTTGAGAACCGCTGGGGCGTGTCTGAACCACTTTCCCCCTTCAGCAGCCCTTGCCCAAGCCAGACTCCCACCGTGAGGCGCCCCCTAGCTTCTGTCCTTGGCTTTACTGGGTTCAGAATCACATACGGTCAATCGTTATTATTATGGATTCTGTATTTGCCAATTCACCTACTTGCTAAAAATCTATTTTTAACCCTAAAATCAATACCTGTGGCATTGCCAGGTTACTGACGGATACGTGCAGGGCAGCAGAGAATCCGAGTGGCCCTAGGCACACGCTCCCAGGTGCGCCTGAAGGAAGCGGTGCTCTGCCGTCTTGTTTCGGCTCTCACGCAGTGAGGGGTCTTCCTTGTGGTCTGTTTGGTGCCATCTTTTTCATAGTTTTGTGCTTCTTGTTGGTGCTTTTGCTGTTTAAAGCGGCCTTCCGACCTCAGTGCTGGAGTTGCTGTCTGTGCTCCTAAGCGCAAGAAGGCTGGGATGTGACTTACGGGGAAAACACACGTTCGATAAGCTCCATTCTGGCATGAGTTACGGTGCTGTGGGCTGTGAGTTCAATGGAAATGAATCAACAGTATATAGTAAATAAAGTGTCTTTAAACAGAAACGCACATAAAACAAGGTTACGTACTGATTGATTGACGAAAATGTTGTGACTAGAGGCTCGTGGGAACCTAACCCTGTATTTCCTCTAGGAGCAACGATTCGGTGTTTGCTGATTCGGTGTTTGCTAATTCGGTGTTCGCTAATTCGGTATTTGCTAATTCGGTGTTTGCTATAGCTTGATAGAATGCAACTGCCGTGAATAATGAGAATTGGCCGTGAGTGGCTGGGGGTCATCGAGCCACACCAGAAAGGGGTTTCAGTGTCATCAGAGTGAGCTGTGGTGGTGTCCCCCAAGTCACCCTCAGCCTGCTCTAGACTCACCAGCAGAGGAAGCACTTGGCTGGGGAAGATGACCCCCAAGCCCGACTCTTCTATTGTGTATTGCAGGCTCTTTCCTCATTTCCGGAGGGTTTGACAAGACCGTGGCTGTTTGGGATGTAGCAGAAGGCTACCGGAAGCTCTCCTTGAAGGTACACGTGCCAGCGCCACACAGAGGAACCGGGCTTCATTCCTTAGTCCTTCCGTGCTGGGTGCTGCGTGCTGGGTGTTGGGGATACAGCAGTGGGTGAGACAGACCCACATGTCCCCTAATGGAGCTGACGCCTCTGTGGGGAAGGACGGACCAGAAACCCGCAAGCAAGTCGCCCACGGTGAGGAGTGAAGTGGAGAAACACAACCGGGCGATGTGATAGAAACAGACCCGGGGACCAATCCACGGTGCCTGGGCAGGGAGAGCATCTTGGAGAAGGAGGCGTTTGAGCTGAGAACCGGATGGCAAGGGAGGACCGGATAAGCGAGGATCTTGGGGAAGGGCATTCCAGGCAGATGGAACAGCAAATGCAAAAACCCCGAGGTCGGAAAGTGTCCCAGAGTAGCAGAAATTACCAGGCAGAGGGATGAATGCTGCAGTGCAGCAGGCAGAGCACACTGTGGGGCTCCCAAAGGCGGGGTGTAAACTGAGTCCTTCTGGCTGCAAGTTAGAGGAGCCGTAACTCAAAGTGGCACTGTGATTAGGGGACCAGGCTTGGCTCATTCTGTGCCCCTGTTCCAGGTGCCGTGTTCCCTGAGATTTCGGCGCACTCCGTGGTTTCACGATCTCACAGTCACCTCTGGCTGCTAATGCTTGCCTCCAGGACGCTTGGTCTGTCTGTCCCCAGGGGCCCAAAGTAGACCATGTCCCCTTGAGCAGCACATGTGCAGGCCCCAGGGGCTGGTCTGTCTCAGCCCTCCTTTCCTAGGGTTTGGGGAGGCACAGGGAGTTTATATCGCAGCAAATAAACGTTTAAAACCAAATGTTAAACCTCCCTGTGCTTAGAAGTCGCTTTGTCCCTCTAATAGGTTGTTCTATTCTCTCTCCTCCTTTTCTCCTCTCTCCATTCTTCCATCCTCCAATTCCTGTCCTTTTGTTGAACACAGTAGTTCAATCTTCTTTCTTGTTCCTTTTTCTCCTGCCACACCCTGTTGACTCGACTTCCACCTCTTCCCATAAGGCGAAGGCCAAAGAAACGTATAGATGCCGACTCAGAACCCAGCATCGTTGAATGTCCAACAGCAATGGCATTTGTCTCCTGTGGGCTCCTTTTCACCTGGGGAAAACAGCTCCCCATGTCCTTAAGCCACAGTGGATCGGTTTTGCAGTTGCTTGAAGCCAAAAGGACCTCTGAGTGGTATTTCCTAGAACGAAGAATGCAAACAAAAACCTGACCAGCTGGGAACATAATCTTTGTTTTTTTTCCATCCTGCTAAACACCACAGTGCTAATGCAGCGTTACAGCTCTTGTAGAATTTGTCTAGCAGGTTTTCTGGTCCCCACTGGAAGATCTCCTCCCCACCCCCCACAATGCAAAAATTAAATAAATAAACACCACATACTATTTTTAAAAACACATACAGTGCCATGGTATGCACATGTATGACATCTCTATACTTTGTATTCCGCCTTGAATGTTGTTGATGAAACCAGGGAAACACAATTAGTTGTTCTTCAATGTAAGCAGCATTGGGTTTCTGACTTTGATGTTTTGGTTTTGTTTTTGTTGTTCTTATAAAGGCATTTTCTCTAAGTCCTCATTAAGATTTTATTTTCTTTAGGGCCATACAGACTGGGTGATGGATGTTGCCGTTAGTAAAGACAAGAAATGGATCCTATCTGCTTCAAAGGTAAAGGTGGCCAAGCTTTTTTTTTTTTTAAGAGACAGGGTATTGCTCTGTCACCCAGGCTGGAGTGCAGTGGTGCAATCACAGCTCACTGCAACCTCTAACTCCCAGGCTCAAGCAATCCTCCCACCTCAGCCTCCTGAGTAGCTGGGACTGCAGGCGTGGGCCACCACGCCCAGCTAATTCTTTAAAAAATTTTTTGTGGAGGTGGGATTTTGCTATGTTGCCCAGGCTGGCCTCAAATTCCTGGGCTCAAGTGATCCTCCTGCCTCAGCCTCCCAAGTAGCTGGGACTAGATGCACGCCACCGCGCCTGGCTAATTTTTCTGTTTTTCAGTAGAGACGGGGTCTCGCTCTTCCTCAGGCTCATTAAAAGGATTATTTACCATGATCAACTGGGATTTATCCCAGGGATACAGGGTGGTACAACATAAAATCAATCAATGCAATATATCACATTAATAGAATAAGGGGAGCAGGGAAACCTACATTTGATCATCTCAATTGACACAGAAAAAGCATTTGGAAAACTCCAAAACCCTTTCATAATAATAATAATAAAAAAAACCTCCCAGAAAACTGGGAATAAAGGGAAAATTCTTCCCTTTGATGAAGGGTATTCATGAAAAACCCACAGCTAACATCATTCTCAATGGTGAAATACTAAAAGTTTTCTTTCTAAAATCAAGATCAAGACAGGGATGCCTTTCACTGCTGCTATTCAATATTGTACTGGAGGTTCTAGCCAGAGCTATCAGACAAGAAAAAGAAATAACGGGCATCCAAATTGGAAAGGAAGAGATAAAACTATTTCTGTTCACAGATAGCATGACCACATATACAGAAAATCCCAAAGAAGCCACAAGAAAGCTACTAAGCTAATAAATGATTTTGACAAAGTTTCAGGGTACAAAATCAACACACAAAAATCAACCATGTTTCTATACACCATCTATGAACTATCTGAAAAAAAATAAGCAATTCCATTTACAGTTAAAGGAATACTTAGGAATAAATCTAGCCGAGGTGGTGAAAGACTTGTACACTGAAAACTATAAAACATTGTTGAAAGAAATTAAAGCAGATCTAAATAAATGGAAAGACATCCTATGTTCATGGATAGGAAGACTTAACATCTTTCAGATGTCGATACTACCCAAAGTAATCTACAGATTGAACACAATCGCCATCAAAATTCCAATAACCTTTTCATATGGAATCACAAGGGGCACTGAATAGCTAAAACAATCTTGAAGAAGAAGAAGGAGAAAGAGAAAAAGTTAGAGGACTCACACTTCCTGACTTTGAAACTTACTACAAGTCTACAGTAATTGAACAGTATGGTACCAGCATAAGGACAGACATATAGACCAATGGAATAGACTAGAAATCCCAGAAATTGACCTCACTTACGTGGTCAATTGGTTTTCAGTAAGGGTTCCAAGACCATTTAATAGGGAAAGGAGAGTCTTTGCAACCAAGGATATTGAGAAAACTGGGTATCCACATGCAAAACAATGAAACTGCACATATTTCCATGCCTATTGCTGCTTTACTCCCTTTGTAAAAATTAGAGCCTGCATCAGAGCATGCCTCTTCTCTCCCCGGCCCCTGGAAGGAAGTCCAACAAGGTCCTACTAGGCTAAAATCAAGGTGTCAGCAAGATGCATTCCTTTCTGGAATTATTATTAACTGAAGTCCAGAGCTGACATGGTTTCACTCTTCGTGTTGCACCGTTCTATGGGCTTTGCCAAATGCATGTCACACATGCGCCACTACAGTAGCATGCAGAAGAGTTTTGCCACCCTAAAAATCCTGTGTTCCGCTTACTCATCCCTAGAAGCCCTGGCAACCACTGATCTCTCTACTGTCTTTACAGTTTGCCTTTTCTAGACTGTCGTATGGTTGGGATTATAGTCTGTAACCTTTTCAGATTGGCTTCTCTTGCTTAATAGTATGCATTTAAGTTTCCTCCATGCCTTTGCGTGGCTTGACGGCTTATTCCTTTTTATCATTGAATGGTAGTCCATTGAATGGACGTACCACAGCCTGTTTTGTGACTGCTGGTTTGCTGTTTACCTTGTTCCAGGATAAGACCATGAGACTATGGAATATTGAAGAAATGGACCAAATTCCTTTGGTGATGGAGTGCAGAAAGGCCATGGGCTTAAAGGTGAAACAGGTTGGTATTGGGTAAAATTGAGCGCAATGAAGTCTTATTAGATCCCTCTACAAATTAATATATTCTTTGAACAAACATTTACTGGGCAACTAGGGATAATACAGCTGAGAACAGACCGAAGTGTTTGCCCCGAGGGAGCTAGAGTTCTAAAAAGACGAGACAAAAAATAAAGACACAGAAAAATGTGTATCGAGTCACACGGTGATGAGTAATTTGGAGAAAAGTACCCAGGAAAGGGGAATGGCAGCACTGGGGGGTCCAGTGTTTTAAAGGATGGTCAGGGTCGGTCTCCTGGAGAAGGTGACATTGGTGCCGACTTGGAGGGGGTGAGCCATAGACTTTTAGGGGAAGAACTTCCCAGCAAAGGGAACAGCCAGTACGGAGGCCCTGAGGCAGGAGCAAGCCTGGTGCGTCTGAGGAGTGAGGAGAGTGGAGGACATGGGGCCTGAGGGAGCACTGTCCAGGGAGGAAGGGCCAGGTGCACAGCTGGACACTGAGCCTCCAGCTGTGGACCCCCGGGCAGGCTCCCGGTGCCCTGTTTCCCTTGCAAGAGGCTCAGGCACCCATGTTTCTCTAGTGCAAGAACTTGGTGGCAGGTCTTCTGCCTCACCTGGCCCAACCCGCACAGGCCGCAGAGGCTATCCCTGCTGGGGCCTCACCGTGCACACGCCTGGCTGCTGCTCAGAGGCTGAGGAGCGTACGCCGGGTCCGCCTGAGTCCCCTTCCCTCGGAATCCTGGAGTCACGAGACTTGTCTCCTCTCGGAAGGCCCGGCTGGGGACCGCTGCTCCTGGGAACGGCCAATTTGAGAGCAGCACTGCAGGGCGGGGAGCTGAGGGGCGGGGCCCGCATGGGCCTTGTCCTTGTGGCCAGCTGGCCCTCATGGCTCTTGCGGCTGGCTCATTCTCTCTCTGTGGCCTGCAATTTTGCAACTGCCATCTTTGCGGGCTTCGAAGGTGCAGAGAGGGGAGCTCTTACGTGGCCCAGCCTGGGTAGGTGGGTCATGGGGAGAATTCTCACTTTCTGCTCGATCCCCTCTGACCAGCATCTCCTTTCTGCTCTTTTCAAATATTTCGTGTCAGTGTGAAGGATGTGACAGGCCTTTCTCCATCTTTGAGAGTGACACCTCTTCTGAAATATTCAGCAAATGTGTGTTCTGCCGCAGAGATGCAAAGGACTTGTCAGAAGAGTGTTCGTCGTCATCGTCATCAGAAAAGGAGAACTCGTCACCAACGCCGCCATGCTCGGGGAGCAAGGATGACTGATGGCCACAGGGCCTTTTGGGTGACTTGAGCACCGGCTACCTGTCATGTAGGTTTTGTGGTTCTTCAGGGGTTCTTCGCTTGGGCCCCTCCCAGCTGAGTGAGCCTGTCAGACCAGCAGGGCCAAGCCTGGGCTGGGCTCTTGCCACCTGGCCACCGCCGCAGCTCAGCAGCACCCTTGCGGAGCTAACAACTTATCCTTAGCTTTCACGAAAAATAAAGCTAGATTCCTTTGGAAAGCAAGTGTCCGTGTGCATTCTAGAAGCAGTACTGCTGCTTCTCGGTTTCCGTCCTGTGTGCCTCCTCTCTACCCTAGACTTCTCCGTTTCCAGATTGCCCACGCCCACGTGCAGCCCTCTTCCTGCTGCCACAGCACGTCGCGCAGCATAAATCCACTCAGAAAGTTTTCAGTCAACAGCGAAGGGCCCGTTTTCCATTTGGTACGTGTGGCTCACATGCTTTTCATCAAACGTCATTAATACTCCCCTCGGTCCATTTTGCAAACTTATCCGCAGGGCTGATTTACAGTGTCGACGTCTGGCATCCAGTGACTGCACATAAGCACCGTGGGGCAGGTGCCACATTTGGCACCGTCCTCCTTGGTCACAGCCCAGGTGACTGCTCACACTCAAGCTGGCCGTTCAGTATTTATCCGTTTGTCTATGCGAGTGATGCATGAACGTGCCAAAGCTCCACTGACGCCGTCCCGTCAACTGGGGTCCTCTTGCAGAGGCGCCCTGTTGCTCGTGGCCTCCCTCCGTCCCACAAAGGGGCAGGCCTAGCTGTGTCCACCCCAGGGCTGGGGTCTCCTAGATGGCAGACGTCCACTGCCCCCCTGATGGGCACTTGCGGTGGCGTTACAGGTGATGCCGGGGCGAACCCTTCTGTGCACGCACTTTTGCAGACTTAAATGTCTACGGGGGGGGGCGGGGACTCTCACTGGGAGCGCGCCGGATGGGCAGGTTGGCAGCGCAGGAACACGGGGTGGGGGGGTGGCGTGCTTGAGGGAGGAGACCCAGGCAGGAAGGTGAGAGCCCGGGCCGGGAGGGCCTGGCCCCGCTCCTGGGGGACTGTCCCCGGACTGTCACGCCGGACCCGCGGACGCCCCGACCGACACGCGGAGGCCGGGAGACCCTCCCACTTCCGGCGGGCAGAGGGCCGGGACGCTGCGCGCACGTTCCCCAGAGTGCGGGTGTCCCGGATCCCCTTCGAAGACACCACCCTCCGGCCCGGGGCCCGGCCTTCCTGGGCCCTGCGCGCCACGCGCCGCCGGAGCTCCAGCCCCCGCCCCGCACCCGCAGCCCCGGCCGCGCGCCACGGGTGCGCCCGCGGCAAGCGGAGCGTGTGCGCATGCGCACGGCCGATGCGCCAACGGTGATGGGAGGAGATTCGCGCTCTGCGTGTGCGGGAGGCGCCGTGGCTTAGTTGGTTAAAGCGCCTGTCTAGTAAACAGGAGATCCTGGGTTCGAATCCCAGCGGTGCCTCAACCGAGCGTCCAAGCTCTTTCCATTTTGCCCCTGTCTTCTTTTTTGCGTCCCTACCCAGCTCCCTCCCCTTTTGGGGGTGTGAGAGGGAGCCCGAGAGGTCGTTTTAGCCAGGCCCCTGCTGGGCGTGGCTTCGGCCCCTAGCGGGTGGGCGGGGCAATGGTGAGTGTCGCAGACCGGAGGCCTGGGCAACCGGGCGACACGGCCCGCTTTGCTGGCAAGGAGGCCACCCTGGTGGCCCCACGAGGTTGCCGAGCCCCCGCGGTCGCCAGGCTCAGCTCAGCTGATTTCCCCTTCTCCCTCGTAAAGGAAAATAAAAATCTCAGGACCGTCCTCCTAACCTCTTTTGCAAAAGGGGTGGCTGAGTCATGCAACACCCCTGTCCCAACGATGGCTGTTACTATCCTGCATGGGCCTAGACCCCTGGGAAGGCGAAAGGCCTGTCCTGGCGTCTGCGAGGACTGTCCCCACAGAGCATTCAGGAGGAAATCCTTGCTGGCCTCCCCTGAACAAGGACATGCAGCTTGTAGCCTTGTGTCTGCAGGCTCAGTCTGGCTCCTGTTCACTGCACACTAACGATCATTATGTTACTGACCTCACGGTTCTTGGTCCCGTCAGTAGACATTGGCAGGTGACCCAAAGAGGAACTTCTCCAGGCCAGGCTTTAAGGGGTGGGGAGGGTGTCGGTTTGCTGGAACAAAGGGAGACAGCGCCGCAGGTTGAGGGGCAACCAGACAGGCTTTTTTTCCCAACAAAGGGCTGGGGAACCTTTAAAGGGCAATGAGAGAAAGTTTGATGCTGGCACCGGTAGAGGCCAGGTTTTGTTGGCATCTGCCCATCTGGCAGATATGCTTCTTCATACATGGCATGTTTCGTTAGCGTGTTGAATCCCCCCCTGGGGCATGATTGTTGGCACTAAAATGAGGCCAGAGGTCTCTGAGCCGTCAACTTTGGGCTTCCTTTGGGCAGTAACCGGTTTGCGCTGGCTTTGGGGCTGGCGCACCCCTGCTGCAGCGGTTGCCGTGTCCTGCTAAAGAAAGCAGAGCTACCCTTCTGTCCAACCTGGGTGTTGATCGTTTTCGAAGCTTTTGTCCAGCGTTGCAGGCAGACTTAAGCCTTGGCTCAAGGCTCAGGCAGGTGGCCAAAGTCCACCTCCTCTACCACCAACTACAGGCTTCTCTTCCCAGGTGCACACCAGACACAGGTCTTGTGAGGCCCAGAGGGGAAGAGTGCAGGACTGAGCCCAGCCGCTGTGACGGTCAGGCCGACGACAGCACGAGAACTCCAGGTGGGGGGAAGAGCAAGTGGGACTCTGCCCAGTTCAGGGGGGCAGGGGAGGGGTGGAACACTCAGGCCTGGGCTGTGGTTGCAAATCTCCAGGGCTTGAGAACACATTTGCACGTGGGGGCCTGCTTCAGACAAATTGCAACTGCGTCTTTGCAGGGTGGGGTGGGGGGAAGCATTGGAATTTTAAAAATAATTCCCCAGGGGTTCCCATGTGTCTAACCCAGAAGGACAGCCCCAACAAGGTGCAGAATTTGCCGTCATGGCATGAGGGTGTGCTCCCAACAGTCAGATTCACCAGCCCCAGAAGCAGTTCCTCTCTCTGCATTTCCTACGGGTCTAGTTTATTGTTTATTTTTTCTCATGTTTTCTGGTCCATTCTTGCCCTTTGCAGCTTGGTTGTTTTCTATTGACATTGCCAAGGAAAACTTGTAGGGTTACCTGAGGCTTTGCAGTTCTAATAGGAGCATTTAACTGAATCCAGGGATGAATTTATTGGGGAACTGGCCTCAAGTTGTTGCGGGGGCTGGTTTATTTGTGATTCATATTTACTCCTAGCCTGAGGTATTTAGGGTCATTTTTGAGCATTTGCCTGTTAGGTGGTAAAGGAGAGATGTTGGCTGGGGGTGTGTGTCTGGGTCTCAGGGAGGGTCACCTGAAGAAAAGCATGTTGAATCACGGGCCTGTTTTATGATGAAATGTTAAATATCTTATGTAGTTTATTGAATACTAAAGCAAACAGGAAAAACAGAATGGCTGAACTGCTTCTCAGCCTTTTGGCTGAGTGTGGTATCTGTTCTCAGCAGTGCAATATCTGCTGTGTCCTCTACCCGAGGACAATATTAAATGGATATTTGGAGCGGGGAGACGGAACAGGGTCTTGCTCCATCCTCTCCGCATATCAACCTGGATTTGCAGTACCCCCGGGAATGATGCACCCTCCTGGGGGGACCAAAAAAAAAAACCCAGAATGGTTGTGTGAGCAAAGTACAATTTCTACTGACTGTGCATTGCTTCTGCACCGTTGTAAAGTTGAATAATCCTAAATTGAACCATCATAATAGTCATAAGTTGAATCCTCCCACCTCAGCCTCCACAGTGCTCGGATTACAGGCATGAGGGAGCTGGGCCTGCGTTGTTTTCCTTACTGATCTGTAGGTACAATTTTATTAAACGAGTCCTTTGCCTTTTATAGATGTGATCAGTCTTATCTCTCAGTCTGTCATCTGCGTTTTAACTTCGTTCCAGTGTCTTTTATCTTTTCATTGGTTCATCTTTTAAGTCCTTTGATCAAGTTTACAGTATTCTTAATCTAGGTCTTATATATCTCCTGCTGGATTTGTTTGTAGGTATGGCAAATGGGATCATTTTCCTGTTATTTCTGTAAGTGTACATTGTCGCGTGTAGGAATGCCTTTGATGTTTCAAAAATTGTGGCTCTTTAAAGCATCCTTCTTGCCTGACTCTCATCACTGCCAGTAGTTTGTTTGATTTTTTGGCAGATTCTGGGTTGTGCAAATTGGGATATTGAATAATAACTTTGATCGTAAAGGGAAAAAAAGACAAGTTACAAACCAGAAAAATATATCTGCTATACATATAAGTGACAAAATAATTTCCAGTTGAGGAAGGATCCCGCGGGTTTAGCAGAGCAGTGGAAATACTTCATTTTTTCAGAATTTGAAAAGCCAGGTTATCAATAGTCACATTTTTCAGTATTTACCCAAAGAAATGAAAACAATTTCCATAAGAAGCCTTCACAGATGCTCTAAATACAACAGCAAAAACTAGGAACAGCCCAGGTATCCACGGAGATGAATAAACTGTGGTACATCCAGGTAGTGGACCACTATACGGCAGCAAAAAGGACCGAAATACTGATAGGCCAACATGGATGAAATCTCACATCGTGTGAATGAAACCCTGCACGATTCACGATTCCATTTATAGAAACTTAATTTATAGTGACAGCAGATCAGTGGTTCCCCATGTGGCAGAGAGATTGGCTTCTTGAAAGGGGGCACAAAAGAACTTTTGGGGGTGATGGAAATGCTCTTTATCTTGGTAGGGGTATGGCTGTGTATTTACCAAACTCATTAAATTGTATGCAGTGAGATCTATGCATGGCTGGGCGCGGTGGCTCACGCCTGTAATCCTAGCACTCTGGGAGGCTGAGGCAGGAGGATCGCTTGAGTCCAGGAGTTGGAGGTTGCTGTGAGCTAGGCCGACACCACGG